AGAGAGAGAGAGAGAGAGAGAGAGAGAGAGAGAGAGAGAGAGTTAAGACAGAATTACCCTATAACAGGGCAACAACGCACCTACTAGACATGAGACACTAACAAGTAAAAAGCCAGTGCAAAGAATTAGTTACTTGTCTTGGAGTTGTTAGCCAGTGAAAGCCTATAGATGCCCAAATAGTACAGACTATTGATATTGCAGAGGAGTGTAAAGTAACAGAAAGGATGTCTGAAAAAGTTAGGAGTCATACTATTAACTATCTACCTAAAAATACCCTATAATATACATATGTAATTTAAATGAAATTCTCTTTTGGGCTGATAATGCTCCCCCAAGAGCCAAAGAACATATAACAAACCCCAATACCAGACATGATAATCCCTCTTTCAAGTTGTTGGGCAGAGTTTTCCAAGTGACTCCTAAAACCTTATAGGTTATTGCTGTGGCTCTAGAAGGTAAGTCCCTGTTGCTGAAGACACCATACAATTCAGGCACAGGACCCAGAAGACCCTGAGCTAGAACTGACCTGAAAGCCTCTTCCTTGGGGTCTAGCTTTCATGGTACCAGAAGTCATCATATAAGTTTCCAAAGGAGGGAAGCAAGCAACAGTCCTACTCAACTAATACATCTGTGAACTACAAGGACTAGCATGGCATGATAACACTAAGGATTCAGTAGTGGCATGAATATTTTAGTGGTAACCAACAGCTCTTTAATTTGACTTAAGACCTACTCAACAAGAGGGAAATCATGCTTGGTACTAGAATCCTAGATAACTACCCAAGGCTATTGAGGTCATGGATCTTGGAGGATAACATACAACTGCAACTTTACTGAACAAGAACAATCCCTAACTAAATTATAAATATTTGTCCTTATACCCACAGATAAATGTAATTCTCCCCCCTCATCAAGGAAACTTCTCTTTGCAACAGGCAGAGACTGTGGTGGTTTGAATAAGAATGGCCCCCATGGGCTCATATATTTGGATGTTTAGTCCCAGTTGGTGTACTGTTTGGAAGGATTGGGTGTGTGACCTTGTTGGAGTAGGTGTGGCCTTTTTGGAGGAGGTGTGTCCCTGGGGGTGGGGGTTGAGGTTTCAAAAGCCCACACCAGATCTAGTGTGGCTCTCTATGCCTTCTGCCTGTGAATCAAGATGTAAAGTTCTCAGCTACTGCTCTAATACCATTCCTATCTGCTTCCTGCCATGATGATAATGGGCTAACTCTCTGAACCTGTGAGCAAGATCCCAATTAAATGCTTTCCTTTATATGAGTTGTGGGAGTCCAGCTCCCACTCTTTGAAGGGTTCTTAGGTGGAGGAGAGAGGAATGAGGAAATATCAGATAGAAAGAGAGACCTAGCTGATGAAAGACTGAAACACAGGATAGCTTTGGGAGGGCCTGGATTAATACCCAATAGCCTCATCCTTTATTGAAAAGGGCTTTTTATAACATGCCATGGGGAGAGGCAAAAGACCCCCATCCTTGCAAGGTCAAATCACACCGTATAGCCAAGTATAGACCCTTCCAAATAACTGCTAAACAGGCCCGTGGTCAAATAATCTCCTTATCCAGCCTTGTTGGATAAAGCAAGCTCAGATTCTCTGATCTTGAGTAAGACCTCACTAGATAGCCTCTGTGGGTGCCCACACTTGGGTCATGGTCTCTTTACAGCAATAGAACAGTCACTAAGATAGAGCCCATTACAAAAAAACCCACAAACAATCAAAATGCAATTGTGTAGCTCAGTCCCAATTGAACAAGGAAAAAAGCAATAGACATTGTCAAAGTGAATAGGGAAATCCCATAAGGCCTCAACCCTACACAAAGAACTATAGGCAACCAAGGAATACTCAGAGCAGGCAAAATAGTCTTCCCTAGGGAAGAACATACCAATTGGTTATTTAATACCAAATGGTCAGCCCTGAATTCACACATACAAGTAACATTATATAGACTGAACAGGTTGTATTTATATACTTAGGAATATATGTGTATATGTATGTAGTAGAAAATTTTAAAGTATGTTATGTTTGTTTATGTTGCATTTGTTTAACTCTGTGAAGCTGTGTTACTGTGCCTGTAAAACACCTGATGGTCTAATAAAGAACTGAACAGCCAATAGCAAGGCAGGAGAAAGGATAGGTGGGGCTGGCAGACAGAGAGACTATATAGAAGGAGAAATCTGGGAGGAGAAAAGATCAAAGGAGCCAGAGAAGGAGGAGGACATCAAGGTTCAGCCACCCAGCTACACAGCAAGCCCCAGAGTAAGAGAAAGATTTTTAGAAGTAAGAGAATGGGACAAGCCCAGAGGCAAAAGGTAGATGGAATAATTTAAGTTAAGGACAGCTGACAAGAAATTAAGCCAAGCTAAGGCTGGGCATTCATAATTAAGAATAAGCCTCTGTGAGAGATTTATTTGGGAACTGGGTGGCAGGCCCCCCAAAAGAGTAAAATACCAACAACAACATATGTGTATATGTATGTATATGTGTAATGACAATTAATGAAAAAAGAGGCCATGAATATGAAAGAGAGCAAGGAGGGTTGTATGGGAGAGTTTAGAGGGAAGAAAGGAAATGGATAAATGGTATAATTATATTATAATTTCAAAAATGAAAGAAAAAATAATTTCAAATTATCTACATTTATAAAACATTCATCATCAGTCCACAAGATGGCAGCAAAAGCCAATCAAATGCAGTAAAAAAAAAGAATTATTTCAATTAGTCTTTGCTCATAAACCATCCTTTTATCAGGAAAGGAGCATTTGACCAAAAGAGATTCAAAAGATGCTGCCTCTCGTTGGGCTTTCAAAAGCCCAAACTGAAAGAGATGTAAACATTGCCTGCCTGTCCAAATGAGTCAAGAATTCTAGGCCAAGTTGTACCTGCCCACCCCATTTAAGGAAAACTAAAAGATTCTACTCATTTCCTGATCAGGAAAGAGTATAATGTGTAAACCGGAGGATATTAGCAAATTTCTACAAGATGAGCCTCTTACTGCTACAACTCCTATGAAATCCCACATGTTGGTTATTCCAAAGCCTCACAGCCCTTACAGATTAGTACAGGACATAGAATTATAAATGAGATCATCAGTCAGGTATACCTGGTAGAGTCTAACACTACACACTTCTAGGACAAGAAACCCAGAAACCCAATGTTATATAGCATTAGATGTCTATGCATTCTCTTGGACCAATATTCTCAATTCCTTAATTCTTGTTTGTCTTTGAATGAGCCATAACTGGCAGATGACCTCGGCAATTTCTATGGACTACCCTACCTCAAAGATTTTGAGGTAGCCTCACTAGTTTTGGCTAAGCCCATACCTGAAATCTAGAGGAAATGAAAAATGCAGAGGGCATTATAACTCAACATGTTTTTACTACCTCCAAGGAATAAATAACTTTTAGGAACCCTTGCCTTTAAAGGGAAGATAAGATCTCCAAGAAGAGGTAAAAACTCAGAAAGTTAAGGGTGAAATAACTGGGCTTCATTATGATCCCAGGACACTAGGCCTCATCCTCAAATAATTTTCAGCTGTTGTACATCTTTCCCCTCCCCAGACCCAGAGACAGATATAGGCATTCCTTGGATGAACTGGGGGTTGTTAACTATGAATTCAGGTGTATAGGGAAAGAGGCAAGCCTCTATAGGAAAATACATGCTTCTACATTCCCCTACAACTTGATGGATCAGAAGAACAATTTTGCATTCAAATTTTAAAAAGTCCTTCTGAAGGTTCAAGCCCTGGGGTTACCTGGGAGCAAAAAATGCTTTTAACATTTGTCACCCAAAACAAGGGATTACTATGGGAACTCAACTCAATCTCTAGGCCCACACAAGTAACCCATGCATGGCACAGTCATGAAACTATGTAACTTGTGGCCTGAGAACAGACCCCTTCCTCTAGGAATTGACAGGAAACATCATTGGCTGACGAAGCTTTTAAATTCACACGTGAGTCTCTCATAAATATGTACATGCATCTTTTCTTTATTAGAGTCAAGCAGATCTCTTCAATCATCAATAAATTTATATAATAGCAGTCTTTTGGCACTCTACCCTGAGATCACTCTGCAGGGAAATATCTATAACATAGTTGCTTTTTTTTTTTTTTTAGCTCTCCTTGAAAGTTCAGGCCAGGCCACCTATGACTGTTTAGATGTCCTTTCAATATCCAACTCTGCAAAATCCAACCTGAAGGATATCCCTTAGAAAACCCTGCTTAGGTTTGGCTTACTCAGGGGAGGTGCTTTGTGATACAAGAAAAATGGATTGCCTCCGTCAAGGACACTATGGGGGTCAAGCCTCTGGCACTGCAGTTCAATTAGCCAAACTTATAACTCCAATTAAAGCCTTGGAGTTGACAGAAAATAGGGAAGTAGCCATAGACACATATTCTAAATATGCCTTCCTACCATTACATGACAACTCTGCAACCTGGAAACAAGGGAAATCATTAACATTTCCTAAATAGTACTATCAGATATAGACTGTAGATATAGTCTCATCTAAGGCATATAAAAACTCTCAAGTACACTGTAGTACATTTAAAGAGAACATTAAATGGACAATAAACTTATCAGCAGAGGAAATCAATTGGCTGACAGAGCTTCAAACATGGCTGGTATGACTCAGTCTTACTAACACTTGCTGATCTCCTGACATGACTCCTCATTATAGACCTCTATAATCCCCCTCTGGGGAAAGAAAAAGCAACAGAGGAATGGATATTAGATTTTTGAGAGTTAAGGAATTATTTACACTTGTCTGTGCTTTGTACCTTGAACCATAGTGTCCTTGAGAGGGAGAGGTCTTTTGCCTCTCTTCTTGCTGGTGTATAAAATGTCCATGAGGAATAAACTCAGGGTGACTCAGAGCCATCCTGATGCTATTCTGTGTCTCTGTCTTTTTCTTTCACATCTACATCTCTGTTTTTCATAACTATTATTTCTTAATACTCACTCCTCTCTTCAAGGACTGTTTGACAGTCAGGCGGGACCCAGTGCACCCCTCCCCCGTAAGGATGCCTCCTGGCAGAGCTCTGCTTCTTCTCTCTTGCTCAAGATGTTGCTTCTTCTGCTTCACTCTGCTAAAGGGGAAAGCCCTGCAGAAATGTAGTAATCTTCTCTGGCTCCCGTGAAAAGTTGTTACTTTTTTCTACTCAGGCCCCCCTAAGGGAATGTCCAGCAAAGGTTTTTTTGTTTTGCACCATGAAAGATTTTCACCCAAAACTCTTTTAAGAAAGAGATTTCCAGAAGCCTGCCCATGCACTAGGGACAGATCCCGATCCCCCTGCCTGGGTGCCCCCCAAACAGTTCAAGCCAAACAACCATCTTCCATATCCAGAGGGCCTAGTCCAGTCCCATGGGGGCTCCACAGCCACCAGTCCACAGTTCATGGGTTTCCACTACTGTGGTCCGTCATCTCTGCACATCCTCCCATCATGATCTCGACATCCCTTGCCTGCAGTATCTCTCCTCTCTCTCATCGATTGGATTCCTGGAGCTCAGCCTGGTGCCTGGACATGGATCTCTGCATCTGCCTCCATCAGTCACTGGACAAAGGCTCTGTGATGACAGCTAGGTTATGTGACACCTTGCAAAGCCTTGGTGCAGTGGGAAGGGGCTTGGACCTGCCTAGGCTCAGTGTGCTAGGCTCTGCTGACTCCCCATGGGAGAACTCAATTTAGGGGATATGGGGATGCAGGGTGGCTTGGGAAAGAGGGCTGGGAGGTGGGAGGAGGGAGGAGGGGGAGGTCTGTGGATAGCATGAGGAGTGAGTAGAAAATTTCTTAATAAAGAAAAAAAAGGATAAAAGTAAAAGCTCATGTGGGTAATTGCTATTGTAGAATCAGTTTATAGAAAATCATACCTGGTCATGACATTGATTTTATTACTGAATTAAACATTGTTTTTTCCCATAAAAAAGAAAGAGATTTATTTAGGGAGATGGAGAGTCCAGGAGAGTGGCTGCCTCTGTCAGGGTGGGAATCAGGGTGAGAAAGGACAGCTCACTACTGAACAGGCAGAGGGGTTTAT